CCTCAGGCAAAGGCTAGATTAGCGCCTCTCCAGAGGACAGAAGTTTTCCCACTGCAGACACAGCTGATTCTCACTGCCAATTGGCCTGGAGGTCAATTCCTCCCAGTGACACCTAAAACAATCAAGGCATAACTACAACAAGACTGTGCACAAAGCCCACAAGGGGGTGCACCAAGAGTGTCCACCTCAGGTAACTGGGGAGGCTGAGCCACTGGGCCCTGTAGGACACCTAGCACACAAAACCACTCTACCAACACAGGGAAGCAGACAAAATGCGAAGACAAAGAAACAGGTCACAAATGACAGAAATGGAGGACAGCAAACGACTGGATATAGAGTTCAAAACCACGGTTCTAAGATTTTTCAAGAATTTTATGGAAACCGCCGATAAATGTATTGAGATCCTTAAGAAATCTAGTGAGACCCTCGATGTTGTGATAAAGGACCAACTAGAAATTAAGCATACACTGACTGAAATAAAGAATATTATACAGACTCCCAACAGCAGACCAGAGGATCGCAAGAATCAAGTCAAAGATTTGAAATACGAAGAAGCAAAAAACACCCAACCGGAAAAGCAAAATGAAAAAAGAATCCAAAAATACGAAGATAGTGTAAGGAGCCTCTGGGACAGCTTCAAGCGTACCAACATCCGAATTATAGGGGTGCCAGAAGAAGAGAGAGAGCAAGATATTGAAAACCTATTTGAAGAAATAATGACAGAAAACTTCCCCTACCTGGTGAAAGAAATAGACTTACAAGTCCAGGAAGCGCAGAGAACCCCAAACAAAAGGAATCCAAAGAGGACCACACCAAGACACATCATAATTAAAATGCCAAGAGCAAAAGACAAAGAGAGAATCTTAAAAGCAGCAAGAGAAAAAAAGTCAGTTACCTATAAGGGAGTACCCATACGACTGTCAGCTGATTTCTCAACAGAAACTTTGCAGGCCAGAAGGGAGTGGCAAGAAATATTCAAAGTGATGAATAGCAAGAACCTACAACCAAGATTACTTTATCCAGCAAAGCTATCATTCAGAATTGAAGGTCAGATAAAGAGCTTCACAGATAAGGAAAAGCTAAAGGAGTTCATCACCACCAAACCAGTATTATATGAAATGCTGAAAGGTATCCTTTAAGAAGAGGAAGAAGAAGAAAAAGGTAAAGATACAAATTATGAACAACAAATACACATCTATCAACAAGTGAATCTAAAAATCAAGTGAATAAATAATCTGATGAACAGAATAAACTGGTGATTATAATAGAATCAGGGGCATAGAAAGGGAGTGGACTGACTATTCTTGGGAGGGAAAGGGGTGTGGGGGATGCGGGAAGAGACTGGACAAAAATCGTGCACCTATGGATGAGGACAGTGGAGGGGGGGTAAGGGCAGAGGTTGGGGTGGGAACCGGGTAGAGGGGAGCTATGGGGGGAAAAAAGAGGAACAACTGTAATAATCTGAACAATAAAGGTTTAATTAAAATAAAACAACAACAAAAAAACCCCTCGATAGTCCAGCCAGTGTGGCTCAGTGGTTGAGTGTCAACCCATGAACCAAGAGGTCACTGGTTTGAGTCCCAGTAAGGGCACATACTGGGTTGTGGGCTCAATCCCCAGTAGGGGGTGTACAGGAGGCAGCCGATCAATGTTCCTCTCTTATTGATGTTTCTATCTCTATATCCTTCTCCCTAAAATAATCAGTAAAAAAATAAATTTTAAAAAACACTCATGAGATAAAGTGTTGCTTCAAGTATAATAAGGTTAAGTCATAGTAAAGAATTATTCTAACAAAACTAAAAGGAATACTGCTGGACAGTTCAAAAAGCAAATGTTGAGCATAGAAGTTTATGGCCCTTGTTGGAATCTAGGCACTAAAGTATTTTTAAGCACTTTAGCATTTTTTAAAGCACCATAACCAAACTATTGACATGAGCAGAGTATAGTGAAAATAAGTAAGAGATAGACTATGCCCAAAGTGACTAGCAATAACTAGAGGTACCACTTAGGGAAAGTGTCTTTCTAAAATGTTTCTAAGAAATGGGCTCAAAATTACCTAATAGGATACAGCAATGTCCTTTAACTTCTATAATAAACCTAATGTGTTAATTATTGCATCTTGCTACTTAAGAGCACCTCCTGAATAATCTCCTTTGCATCAGGGATTACCCAGCCCATAGTTACACCTGTAGCACAGACCTCCCTTCTGAATTTCACACCAGAAGTTAACTGATAAATGAATAAATACATTTGTATGTCCCATAGGACTTTGTTCAACTCGTTATGTCTAAAACAAGCAAGTTCTCTTCCCTCTCTCACTTCCCAAACTACTCTTCTTCCTATACTCCCTATCCTTGTGATGACACCACCTAAAATACCGGAGCCTAAGAGAAAAGCCTGGGAATTACATTAGTTTCCTCCCTTTCCTCCCCCTCAACTTACACACGGTCAGTCACCAAATCCTGCCAGATGCATCTTTAACACTAGCCATCCTCCCTATCTCTGCTTCTACTGATACTGCATTCAGGCTGCATAACTGTTAGTCTGAACATCTCTCCTTGCAGCTACCTGACCTTCTATATTCCCACAAGCATAATCATGTAACTCTCTCCTTAAAACCCTTTAAGAACCCTTGCCGGTTTGGCTCAGTGGATAGAGCATTGGCCTGAGCACCAAAGGGTTCCAGGTTCAATTCTGGTCAAGGGTACATGCCCGGGTTGCTGGCTCGATCCCCAGTAGGGGGTGTGCAGGAGGCAGCCAATTATTCTCTCGTCATTGATGTTTCTATCTCTCTTTCTCTGGGAAATCAATAAAAATATATATCTATTTTAAAAGTTACATGTGGGCATATTTTAAAACCAATGTAGTGTTATTCTGTTTTGGGGTATTTTTTAATATATTTTTTTATTGATTTCAGAGAGGAAGGGAGAGGGAGAGAGAAATAGAAACATCAATGATAAGAGAGAATCATAGATAGGCTTCCTTCTGCACACCCAACACTGGGGTTCAAGCCCACAACCCAGGCATGTGCCCTGACCAGGAATCAAACCATGACCTCCAGTTTCATATTTTGTTTTATTTTATTTTATAGAGAGGAATAAGGAGAGAGGGGTGGGAGAGGAAGAGAGTTGGGGGTGGGAGAAACATCAATGTGAGAGAGAAACATCAATTGGTTGCCTATCATATGCACCCCACCAGAGATTGAACCTGAAGCCTAGGTATGTGCCCTAACTGGGAATTGAACACACAAGCTTTTGGTGTACAGAACGGATGCTCCAACCAACTGGCCAGGACTAGTGCTATTCTGAAAGAATCATCTTAGACACTTGTTAGGTTCTATGTATTTCTGTAGAGAGACTATTACCAGACACTCTACTTTTGCTTCATAATATACTTCTGAAAATGAAAATATGTACATAATAAATACTTGAAAAAGTATAAAATGTGATATATGTAAAAGGTAAAAAAGACAAAAAATGTTCTACATATTGAAATAAAAAATATTTATATAAAATCTGTAATCATTTCTTGCCTTTTGTATATAGTCTTTACCAATATATTCCCCACAATTCATACATGTTCTTTGATTGTTTCTTTCCTTCATATTTGAACCTGAAGCCAATTAGGTTAAGTGTAACTGAGGCTAAAGACTAATACCTGATGATTTCCATCTTTGTCTCAAGTGTATTAAACTTATGAGACCTGTACTTCTTATCACTAGTATCAGTATATTTTTCCCCCACTCGTCTTTATAAAATGGAGCTAAAGAACAATAAATATTCAAATAATTAAAAAACATAGTTCGAAAGCCCGATCAGCGTGGCTCAGTAGTTGAGTGTCGACCTATGAACCAGGAGGTCACGGTTCGATTCGCAGTCAGGGCACATGCACAAGTTGCGGGCTCCATCCCCAGCAAGGGGTGTGCAGGAGGCAGCTGATCAATGATTCTCTCTCATCATTGATGTTTCCTATTTCTCTCTCCCTCTTCCTTCCTTTTTAAAATCAATAAAAATGTATTATATATTTAAAAAAATTTATTTGAGCCAAACTGACAACATGCTGGAGAGCAAGATCTCAAATGTTCCTCGGAGCACTTTGGAAAGATAGAAATAATGACTCCATATGAAAAATAAAGCTGGTTACAACTAAAGGACCTACTTTTTAATTCTTCATCATGTACCAAAGGGTAACAACTACTAGTATGTATATGTGTAACAGATAAAATTCCCACAAAAGAGAATTTGAATAAGCATACATAATCTGTTGGTGCCAAAAAAATTTAAATCACTCTATTATCTCTATGTCAGGAATATGTATCAACTTTCCCTTATAGATCCTAGAATATTTCCTCATGCTTAACAATATTTAGAAATGTCAGCAAACTATGGTTATATTTTTAAAACTAAAAAGTCCTTATCTTACAGATACATACTAATGTATGGGATTTGCTTTAAAAAAATTCAGGAGTAGGTGGATGTAGAGATGAATAAGACTGGCCATGTGTTGATGATTGTTGAAGCTGAGTATGGGTGCTTACACTATAGTATTTTCTTTATTTTTATGTAAATTTGAAATTTCTATACTAAAATGCTTTTAAAATTACCAAGAGAGGTTGATTGTCTTTTCCAGAAGTGTTTAAGACAAGGTACACTATTTAGTTGATTAGGATTGGATCATATGTTTGCCCAAGAACATTGTAAATCATATGAAGAATCTTTCATACATTCCCCAAGATAAAATAACTACCCTTCCTTTCTCTCTGTAGATGCAATTCTTTTTTTTTTTTTATGCAATTCTTATTTAACCTTCAAGACCACAGACCATTTTTTAAAACTTATTTCTTCAAATTCATAGCGGTCCCTTGAATTGAAAGTACTTCCTAACCATGCCATTCAGCACTTCTTAGATTTTGCCATATAAGTTATCTCTTTACCTATATACTAGAGTCCCAGTGCACGAAATTGTGCACAGTTAGGGTCCCTAGGCCTGGCTGGCAATCAGGGCTGATCGGGGCCTTTGTTCCCCTGGCTACCAGCTGCCGGCTGCGGCCTTCCTTCATTCCGCGCTGCCCCCTGGTGGTCAGTGTACATCATAGCAAGCAGTCAAACTCCTGGTCAGTCGAACTCCGGAGGGGACAATTTGCATATTAGCCTTTTATTATATACTAGAGGCCCAGTGAATGACATTCTTGCACGGTGCGGGGGGGGGGCGCACAAGGGGGTCCTCAGCCCAGCCTGCGCCCTCTCGCATTCCGGACCCCTTGGGGGATGTCCGCTGAGGGGTCCTTAGCGCTGCTACGGAGGCAGGAGAGGCTCCTGTCACTGCTGCTTCGCTCCCCAGCCGTGAGCCCAGCTTCTGGCTGAGCGGCACTCCCCCTGTGGGAGCACACTGACCACCAGGGGGCAGCTCTTGCGTTGAGCATCTGCCCCCTGGTGGTCAGTGCATGTCATAGTGACCGGTCGTTCCACCATTTGGTCTATTTGCATATTAGCCTTTTATTATATAGGATAGGATATGTATTTTTGGTTAGCACAGCTAGACTGCAAGCTCTATGGTAATGGTAACAATGTGTTATATTTCTTCCAACACCTTTATAATACATTGTATAAAAATAGGTAGTTAATGCCATTTGATTCAGTGACCCCACTTCTAGGAATATATCCTAAGAAGCCTGAAACACCAATCAGAAAGAATATATGCACCCCTATGTTCACAGCAGCATTATTTACAATAGCTAAGATCTGGAAACAGCCAAGTGCCCATAAATGAAAAACTATGCAGCTGTAAAAAAGAAGGATCTCTTACCCTTTGAGACAGCATGGAGGGACCTGAAGAGAACTTTGCTAAGTGAAATAAGTCCATCAGAGAAAGACAAGTATCACATGATCTCATTTATATGTGAACTCTAATGAACAAAATAAACTGACTGACAAAATAGACCCAGAGACATTGAAGCATGCAACAGACTGACATATTTCTGAGGGAATTGGGGTGGGGAGAGATTAATCAAAGAACTTATATACATACTAGAGGCCCGGGGCACAAAATTCGTGCACGGGGGTGGAGGGGTCCCTCAGCCTGGCCTGCATCCTCTCGCAATCCGGAACCCCTCGGGGGATGTCGGGCCTAAACCAGCAGTCGGACATCCCTCTCGCAATCCGGAATGCTGCATGCACCAGTGACCATACTTTTCATACAGGTGAAAGGCATCTTACTGTTGTATGGGCAGCTACATGTTTTTGCCCTGATTATAAAAAGTAGTATATAACATGACCCTTCTGAGGCAGTAGTACCATTTTCCCTATCTTATGGGTGGAAAAACTGAAGCAGAGAGAAGTTAAGTAGTTGGCTTTGTCACATAGTTATAAGTATCAGAATCAGGGCTGACCACAAAACGTGCAAGCCACAGTCCATGCATGTCATCGCTGCATCATCCTGTTTTTTTTAGTGTTAGAGTAGCCTTGCCAAGTTTTAATTTTTAAACCTAAGGGACTGTTCCCAATATATAGAGTAGGGTCCCTAGGCCTGGCCGGTGATCAGGGCCATCTGTGGGGTGACGGGAGGGTTGCCTTGGCTGGCGGCCTGGCACCGCCCACTCACCGGCCCCGCCCCCTATCGTCACAGCCGGTTGCCTCCCTCTGGGGGAAGGGGACAGACACTCAATTGAGCATCTGCCCCCTGGTGGTCAGTGTGTGTCATAACAACCTGTTCTGCCACTTTGTTCCACCGTTTGGTCGATTTGCATATTAGCGTTTTATTATATAGGATATGCATATATGCATAACCCAGGGACACAGGCAATAGTGGGGTGAAGGCCTGGGGAGGGAGACAGTCAATGTGGGGGGAAGAGGATACCTGCAATACTTTCAACAATAAAGATAAATTTTTTTTAAAAAAGCACACACACATAAAAAAAAGGTTAATGTACTTTTTTTTTAAGAGATTAAGCTTGATAATTTGTCCACCCATGACAGTCCAGAGAGCTTCTAATAGGAATACTTTTATAGTTGCCTTGCCTAATCTCCTTTGACTCTAACTACACTGTCTTTTGGTAAACATGTACCAGGGCCCTGTGCTAAATAGTATGGATAAATAAAATGAGGGAGCCATGTAACTTACCCTCAAAAAGCTAACAGTGGAAAAGAGGGGAAAAGATAAGGAAATAGCTAATTGTAATAAGTACTGAAATGACAAATATAGCACTCAATACATTATTATAGAGATGATAATTTGGCCAACTCTGAGATTAATTTGCCTGTACTAAGCAAGCATAAGTTATAATTTCCCCACTCTTTAAACTTCTCCAATTTTTCAGAATATCCAAATCATTAGTCACTTACCCTTGTTGCACAGGCTGTAACTGCAAGATCACTTGGGTTTTAGTGTCTTCAGGGTTCTCCCCATCATTTCCTTCAGTGGGTACCACAACCACATCCCCCACTGGGACACTCACTTCTGCATTAGCCATCTTTCACATGAAGTCAGATAGCTGAAGCTGCTGTCAGAAACAAGAAGCACCAGTAACTTCGTCTGGTTTGAAAAGATGGCAACCATAGGAAAGGAAAACCAAGATAACTACCAGATCTAAGGGCACTGTGGAGATCATGGTTCTCTGAAAAGGATGGGAACGTGAGATGGGGCTGACATAGGCTCCGATCATTCTAGAAATATCTCAGTATTCACTTGCTATTGTAGGCTTTCCTAAATATGAACGATTCATTCAATGGCATCTCTATCAGCTCTACAAGCTCCTAAGAACCAATTGTACATATCACTTTCCAACTCCATGTTTAGTGACATTTTAAGTTGATAACTTAAAATCAGTGATGCTGGAAGTATATACACCACAGAAATTGGCAAGCACTACAAATCAGAATGTGTTTTTTTCCTAGGGAGCTGGTTTATAGCACACCACTAGTTCCATCCCAAATAGCAAGCTGCTAGAAAGTAGGAATAGGAATCTATTTTTTTAAATATATTTTTATTGATTTCAGAGAGGAAGGGAGAGGGAGAGGGAGATAGAAACATCAATGATGAGACAGAATCACTGATTGGCTGCCTCCTGCACACCCCCTACTGGGGATCAAGCCTGCAACCCAGGAATGTGCCCTGGACCAGAATGGAACCTGGGACCCTTCAGTCCGTAGCCCAACACTCTATCCACTGAGCCAAACCAGCTAGGGCAGGAATCTATTTTCTTTGCAACCAGCCATTATACTTCATCAAGTGCTCTGTCTTTTGTGAGTATTTAATAAGTATCTGCTGCCCTACCTGCTGCCCTGCTTCTGGCAGAACCATCTCACCTTTATCCCCAGTCCTAATTTTTGAAAGTTATTTTTGAATATGTAACTGGTAGTCAGATGATTGAAACTGTATTTCAGCTCTTATTCTCATAAGCCAAAAAGGGATATGATGAAGTACATACATACTGTCAAGCCCTGGAATTGAACCAAACTATATTCAAAGTTTAAACTATAAAAATGTAGGATAAATTAAAATAATCACAGCTAGCCCTAGCCGGTTTGGCTCAGTGGATAGAGCGTTGGCCTGCGGACTGAAGGGTCCCAGGTTCGATTCCGGTCAAGGGCATGTACCTTGGTTGCGGGCATATCCCCAGTAGGGGGTGTGCAGGAGGCAGCTGATCGATGTTTCTCTCTCATCGATGTTTCTAACTCTATCTCTCTCCCTTCCTCTCTGTAAAAAATCAATAAAATATATATAAAAAAAAATAATCACCACTAACATTTGTTGAACATGTTTATTGTCAAGCACTATTGTTACCATTACATATTTAATGAATTTAAAAGATGTAATATCTTACCATGTATCAAACTTATGGAATTTATTATCCCAAAAAAGTGACTTAAAATTTTAAAAATTAATAGTTTAGGTGAATTAATGGGTTAGAGAAGCAGAATTAGAAGGATACTTCTAATTTCAACCTTCTACCCTATGGTTGGGCCCTCCCTACAACACTAAGTGGTCGACTAACAACTTGATTAATACTTTCCTCAATAGAAACTCATACTTTATTCCTTACCCTACCACACCTTGGCACTCAAGAGGAATGTTCTGGCTGCTTCTCTAAATTTCTGAGAGTTTATCAAAGAGGATAATAATAATTATCCATAAAGTGTCAGTCAGAGACACAGGTCTGACTCAGTCAACATGGCATTCTTGGGAGAACCATGTTGATATTCTTTAGAGAAGCTAGTTTGGGCTCACTCTATTACTGTAAATACCATATTCCTAGCAAGTAACCCGAAACCAGCTCTTCAGACTACACTGGCTAACTGCAAGGTCATCTCTTTGAGCTGAGTGTAAACTGAAAAACAGCTCCTGTTTACATCAACAAAAACTCCTGAGGCAAGGGAGTGAGTTAGTTGATCCCTCGGGTATTTAATGGAAAGGTCCTTCAAGTATTCATTGTGGAATCACACAACACTTCCTGTAATTCTAGAACACACAAAGATGTCAAATCTTTGTGAAAAGTTAAAATTTTGTACTTATTCTCAAAGACAAAAAAGACACCTTGAAAGTAAATTCACGACTGCTTACCTAGGCTATTGGAAAACTAAACAAATGACAACTGACTTACTCTGAATGAAATTCATTTTTTTTTGTCCTGAAAACTAACGTTTAAAACATGGCAAGGGATTAAGTATGAGTGTCACTTGATCACAGGAACATGTGAGTTGGTAACTGATAAGAAATAACAGAAATACCAGATATCCTGAAGTTTTCTAACCCCCAAAAGTATTTATGTATTGCATACTGTAGTGTAATTTTTGTAGACTGTGTAGTCTAGTCTTAAGAAATTTCCAAGTTAAAATTTGAGGCCAAAATTCCTTCCCCCCCCCCCTTTTTTATTCCTTCTCGTGTACTTAGTAGGTGACCCAGAGTGCTTCCAGATGTAATTGAAGCCAACAGAAAGGCTACACGGGACCACTGTGAGGGAAACAGCCAGAGCAAATGAAGTTCAGGATAACTATTATTGGAGATCACCATGTAGGAATGTGAGGAAGCAATAGGATAAAAGCCTTATTTGAAGAGTCAATCTACTAATAGCCGTGGGCAAACTAGATCCGGCCGTTTGAAATGAATAAAACTAAAAAAAAAAAAAGACCGTACCCTTTTATGTAATGATGTTTACTTTGAATTTATATTAGGTCACACAAACACTCCATCCATGCTTTTGTTCCGGCCCTCCGGTCCAGTTTAAGACCCCATTGTGGCCCTCGAGTCAAAAAGTTTGCCCACCCCTGTCTAGCGTCTAGGGGACTTAGGACAAGACCAATACAGAGCCCAAACTAACCCAAGGAAGTTGTGTACAAGTTAGCTTTTGGATATACTTGTTGAAATAAACATGAATGGTTGCTTAATGAAAGTCATCAAGTCGGTAAACACTGAATACACATAATTGATAAAAGGCTAACAAATTAGGGGAGGCTGTCCAAACACTTAATGAAAAAGTCCTCCGAAAGCACTTCACTAATAACCTTTTGCAGATGCCAGGGGTGGGGGTGGGCGGGAGGAAATAAACCCTCCGTGAAGACTAGAATGATCTACCTGTTCCTCCCTTTCTCTCATCTTCCAGGCTGAGAAAAAAATCCCACTTCTTGGTTCTCCTGAGCAGACATCAAAGCCCCTTTTGTATCTGCTATAAAGTGGTTTTGATCTTCATTTCATCTTGAGAGGGCAATGCCGGTCTCCTTCCACTCCTGGGAGAGCCAAGCCTTTCCCTGACCCTCAGTCAAGGCTCGACACGCCTTCACCTGGACCCTCAGGTCAGGTTCCCCCGGGCCAGCTCCCCAGACATTTCAGAAAGTGGGGGTACGCTGAGCTTCTTGCCCTCGAATATCTTCTCTCCGGTCCTCAGAAACCAGGGTTTCCCATCCCCTGACATCCCCGGGGGCCCCATTCTCTACCTAGACGTCGGGAGGTCCTCAAACCTCTCGTTTCCTCATAGATCTGGGCCCTTCTTATTCCTACTTATTCTTTACTCCTACCGGCCTCACCCCCAGGCCTGTCCACCCGCCTGGGAGGAGCACCCGCCGCCTCCCCAGGACTCAAAGGCCGCGGCTTCCAGCGCGCCCCGCAGGTGAAGCCGGGACCCTCCCTTCCTCAGCAGAACCCCCTGATCCTGCTCT